TACACGTTTTTTCATTTCTATGTTTTTTTTTTCTTCTTTTTCTTTTTTTAATTTATTGGTGATTCTCATTTTAAGGAGAAAATACCGGTTTAACACATTAATATACATTTTTGATCTATCAAATCAAAGAATTATATATAATTCGATAACTTTTTCTAAATATAGATTCGAAAATATAATTACGAAAATATCAGGTTGATTAGACATTTTATTGATTTACTTATAATTCTATCAAGGTGAATAGGTGATAAACAGGAACTTCCTTCGCTTTAATTAAAATAATACTTTTATGTCTCATATTTATTTATTATAATTTTAAATGATCCACTTTGATAACATATCTTTAATAATGTATTATATTATTAAAGACTATAATATTTGTTCATACATTTATAATACGTACTAAATGAATTATCAAGTAAGACACTTGATTATTGATAAAATTGTATGAAAAATTTCCCTAGAAAGTACTACGGTATATTTTTGTAAGAAATTTTTTATTAGGAAATCTGAAAAAAAAAATTTGTTTATGTAGCCTACAAATTTTTTTAAGGATAAACATTAAACAAATTCAAATTAAAAAAAAAAAAAAAAGTTACATATGTTATTTCATTTCAATTAACTATCATTATTTTTGCAATTAGACAAAAACAAGTGTTGATAAAATATGAAGTACATAAAGAGGAATTTACAAATATTTCATATGTACGTGATTCTTATGTTTTGTATGGATCGGAGTGATATTATTATATTATATAGTATCACTTTTCGTTTTGAGACTCGCATTGTCTTACAATTTTTCCCAATTTTGTTTTACATTTTACTAGTTTTTGGCCTATACTATGCACGAATTCATAATAATAAGATTTGTAAATAATGGTAATAAAATATTAAAATAAAGTTGATTGTCGTTATTTACAAATCTTATTATTTTTTTTAAAAAGAGTTTGACAGTTTTTAATAGAATTTTATTAAACATATATACTATTTTTGGAGGGAAAACTTTTTACAAAATTATGCTAAGTATCCTATTTGGGTGATGACTTTTTTTCTTTGTGTGCGTCAAATCAAGAATTTTTTTATTGTTTATTTTTTTGTGCGTCAAATTCCAAAAGTTAGGCCAGTATAAACTTCTTCCTTAATTATAACTTTTAATTTTGTGCGTCAGATCCCCAAAAGTTAGACCTAAATATTTGTGTAATAGGATATTTTTGAAATTAAAAGCGGGTGGAGTAATATGTTAAAGTACGATCAAGTTCTATATCTAAAGCTTTTTGTTAGATTTCGAGAAAACTCCTCGATATAAAGTGTGTACCATTGATCAATATATATAGAGTTTTATAAGGATAGTCTTAATCACGTTAGGAAACCTAGTACGATAAGGATACAAGATATATACAAATATCATCCTAATCTGCATATTATCATGACTATAATATCTATCATTCCTCCGCAGTCATACCGGGAGGAGGACGTATGCTAAGACTAGATCTAAAATCCAAAAATAAGTCTTGTGGTAGGCTTTTTGTGAAAATGTCCGCAGACTGATATCTAGAAGGAACATGCAGAACCCGAACTTGTCCCAAAGCAACCTTTTCTCGAACAAAATGAATATCCATCTCCACATGTTTGGTGCGTTGGTGTTGTACCGAGTTGCCAAAAAGGTAGATAGCACTTATATTATCACAATAAATAATAAGTAGCATGTCGAAGAGGACAATGTAACTCAAGTAAAAGATTATGAAGCCAACATGCCTCAGAGACAACATTTGCGACGCCTCAGTATTCAGCTTTTGCATTCGATTTAGATAATGTATGTTGACGCTTAGATGACCAAGAAACGAGGTTGTCCCTAAGAAAGCAACAATAACCCAATGTGGAACGGCGGGTATCAGGACAATCTCCCTAGTCAGCGTCAGTATAAGTAATCAAACGTTGAGAAGCAGACAAATATAAATGTAAGCCATGATCAATGGTACCCTGAATATAACGCAGAATGCGTTTCAATGCATCATAATGAGATTCCCGGGGATCATGCATAAAAAGACACACCTGTTGTACCGTATAGGCAATATCTGGCCTTGTGAAAGTGAGATACTAAAGAGCACCTGCTAAACTGCGGTACAAACTAGGATCCCGAAAAGGTGGTCCTGCATTTGCACTAAGTTTGGACTTAGTGTCAACTGGAGTAGCTACAGGTTTACAAGAGCCCATACCTGTACCCTTTAAAATCTCCTGTGCATACTTTTCCTTTAAAAGTAGCAAATAAAAAGGAGTACGGGTCCCCGCAATCCCTAAAAAGTAGCTCAGAGGACCCAAATCACTCATAGGGAACTCAGTTTGCAACTGAGATATGATCCCTACACGCAACCTGTCAGATGAGGTAGCTAATATAATATCGTCAACATATAAAAGCAAATATGTCAAATCATCACCCTGCCGGAAAGTAAAAAGAAAGTTGTCACTCTTGGCAATGACAAAACCCAATTTGATGAGAAAGTTTGCAAATCGCTGGTACCTAGCTCTAGGAGCTTGTTTCAAACCGTAGAGAGCCTTATGGAGCCGACAAACATAAGAGGGTGCTCCCGATCAACAAAACCTGGGGGTTGAAGCATATAAACCTGGGAGTCTAGGTGATGCCAAAGAGAGTCAGAGACATCGAAAGGTTGCGGCACGGTAGATTCGATGTGGTCAAGAACATTAAAAGCGTGGCAGTGAACCTCAAATAATTCCACCCAATTAGAATATTGAACTTTTTCTCGATCAAGAATCAAGGGAATAGCGTTCTTGATGTTGTTGACGGAGAGAGCCGAATGGTAGTCTTTCGATGGTGGAGGAGGCGGTGGTGGAGGTGTTTGATGTTCACTGTCTTTGGCCATGGCGCAAAGATGAAATTATGCTATACTTGCTGTATAAAAGGCAAATTAAAGTGACAACTTGTGTCTTTAATGCAAAGAAAGAAAACGAGAATCAAGATTCTTAAATCTTGAAAAACGTTAATTTAAAAATGGAATAACTAGAAAACAAAGAAAATTGCAGAAGTTAGATCAAAAAACCTAGGGTTGTGATACCATGTTAGATTTCGGGAAAACTCCTCAATTTCGAGTGTATTGATCAATGTACTACCTCTATTAATGGTTATCTGCAACTTTGGAATTTTTTATATCTCGCAAATAATACCACAAAGTCGCAAATATTCATTAACGGAGGTAGTATATAGAGTTTTACAAGACTAGTCCTAATCACGTTAGAAAACCTAATACGATAACGATACAAGATATATACAAATATTATCCTAATCTGCGACAAATATTATCATGACTATAATATCTATCACTTTTGTTAGCCTATAAACCTTCATCTAATATATACTAGCTTAAGGCCCGTGCCATGCACGGTAAGTCTAATTTATTTTAAGAAAATTAATTATATCCAACAAATAAAATTTGATAAAACATACACATCAAATATATAGAAATTATAATGTCATAATCTATATTAATAGGCAATGCAAAAAATTAAACAAAAATTGATTTTTTAGGCTGCCTAAACCCGAGAATTTTTTCTGGCGAAGCTTGGTTTGATCAGGTTTAGTGGCCATATTAGTAAATACTTATTTATAAATGCATTTTTAATAAACATCAAAAATCAATCAAACAACAGACTAAAATCTCCACTAAAACTATTAGCAAAAGTGCACAACATACACACAAATATATTAATTATAAATATATATCACCTTTTATATCTAAAAATCCATTTCAATGGCAATAAATACTACAATGATCATTAAAGGCAAGAACAATCAATATTTGGGCAACACTAATCTGTACTGTTACATTTTCTGTTTATGGATTGATGCTATACATATATGATATTGTCATTCTTTGTTGTTATAAAAAAAACGTGTTTGAAGCTATATAATAACTGTAATTTAATCATTTTTGTTTATTGTCTTAAAAGTTCTATATATATATATATATATATATATATATATATATATATATATATATATATATATATATATATATATATATATATATATATATATATATATAAGGAGATGTCAATTTTCAGTACGTCTGTCGTGTCATCTTTCAGTATGCAGATTATTTATGAATGTTGGATGTAATAAATATATCATCTCAATCAAGTGTCTTGGCAAAAGATAATTTTTTTTTTGTTTTTTTGCTTTTACTAGATATTGATTTTTTTAATTACGTAACTTACAAAAAAAATTAATTGATATTTTACCTTTCCATATAATTAGACATAAAATATAATTTTCAAACACAACATTTATTTTATAGTTATACTATACTCTATAAATCCTTAATTTGTGATATATAATATATACGTATAGTAGTAAAATTTCAGAAACAAATTTAATATATAGTTATATTGAATTGAAATTGAAATAAAACATTAGCTAGAGGTATTTGAAAAAAAAAAATTAAGTGATTTTTTAAAGTAATTCTTCCATTAAAAAAAAAAAAGGTAATTTCTTTAACATCTATTATATGAATCAATTTATTATTACTTTTTTGGAAAATTTAATAATACTCCATTTAAAAGATGATTAAAAAGGAGTTGAAATAATTATTTAGGTAATTTTGTATAGAAAAATTATGAACACCAAAATAAAAAGGAATATATATTTGTCAAAAAAATAATATATAAGATTTGGAATGATATTATTACAGAATTAAATATTAATAAATAAAAAATTAAAAGGAAAGGAGAGTTTTGGAGGAAAAAAACAGCACCAGGATGTAACATTATTTACATTTTTTTGTAATAATGAAGCATTACAATGACTAATGACACATAATAATACCAATGTAACCATTGAACATTTGAGTAACCACTATGCCGTACTTTTTTAACTTCCCAAAAACTCCCCATATATATTACAATTTTTCACTCATACCATCCATATAATACTTCTATAAATACCAGTCCTCCATTATTCCTGAAAACTTAAAAAAAAAAATAAAAACATGGCTTCCTTTCTCTTCCCAACTGCTGCAATTACTCTCCTTCTCCTAGTCCTCTCTCCTTCTCCTAGCGTCGCCGGCCCCATCCTAGATGTGGACGGCGACATACTACAAAATGGAGGGGACTACTACATCCTTCCAGCCTTTCGTCCATTGATCTCATCGGCCGAAGGTGGCCTTAGATTGACACCAGCAGAGGACTCTTCACCCTGTCCTCTTTTTATAACCCATGACTGGTCCAAAAGAGGCTTGCCTGTGAAGATCTCGACCCTTTTTAAAATACCGATCCTTAAGACTTCATATCCAATCATATTTTCCTTTGAGAAGGTCTCCACCACCTGCAATAAACCTTTGAGGTGGTGGGTAGCCCCTAGTGATGCCAACGACAAATCGTACGTGATTGTCGGTACTTCTGGACCATTCAAGCCTACTTATTCATTCCATATTGAAGAAAATAAATATGCTAAGGGTTTCTACTTTATTAAGTTTTGTCACACAATCGAGTCCGAAATTTTTAGAGTTTCAGCTATGGACTGTAAGGATGTTAGTATTCTTGATGATGGAAAATTAGGAGTCGCCGAGGATAGGACTTATCCTTTTATTTTTAAGAAATATTCTCCAAAAAAGATTGCATCTGATGTTTAGGTATGTCACTTTTGTACGTGTTTATGTGTACGTGTGGCTATAGTCCATGCATGAATAAATAAACTTCTCCGTTATTGATGATATCAAGAGGGAGATTTGTATTGTTAGGGAGAACTTTTCCTCGTATTTATGTCGTGTGCTGTCTTTTAATTATAAAAGTAATGTGTCAGTATTTTGAGGTGGTGATTTTTTATATTATAGGAAATACGATGTTGTAACTATGAAAATAATAGAGAAATTAGGGTAAAAATACAATACTCCATTGTAGATCTCATATAAGCTATGACGCGTTTTACGGCTGTCTTAGAAGCGTATTTCGCCACCACTGGTACGAGGCTCTTAGTGACGAATGCTCCCCAAGGTAACATAGCTACCTTCCAACTCCATACCCCGATTGGTAGGTTAGAATTATTTCAAGAAATGCTCAGATCTCTATGGGAATGGCTTTGTGTTTATTGTGTTTAGGGTTTCACAATACTCTGTGATATTTTTTGTATCTAATATAATGAATAGGCACTATGGGTATTTATAGGTTATAAACACGGGGTTAGAACCGCTGAAAATCACTACCCATACTTTGGCATGACTCAAGCCCGACTGACCAGACATCTGGGGTAAGAAATAACATGGAGTATATTATTTTGACAATGACCTTACTCTTCACCGCCCTACCTCCCAGGGCGACACCGCCTTATAGGGCGAGATGGGTAGGACATCCACGCCAAACATAGTTCATCAAAATGATCGATTCGTTCGATTTGTATTACTTCCAACAATCCCCCACTAATACAATCGGATAAGAGATCTAGAAATCTAAGCAGAAAATGAAAGGTTTAGTGCATATGTGATATAACCCGTAAGGATTGAACTAGCACATTAGTGGAGTGAGGTGTTCAATGATCTCTAAAGTATAAATTGAACTTCAAGACAATTGAAATAACCCGACACCACACACGTTACCTTTAGAAGCTTGAATAATTCCGCGTCCGTATGTAACGTCATACAAGGCCAACTTTCCCTTGGATTTCTAGTGAGTGTTGTTAGGAAACTATATAGGCTCCATAGGAGGATGCCAACCCTGCTTACTCACATAGGTGCTTCATCAAGTATATATACCTGCATAGACTACCCAATAGGGATATGAAACATTAAGAACAACGTCCAACCTATCCATTAGTGTATTCATCAAGTCTGGTTACTTGGACCACTTAATGAAGCTATGGATACATAAAAACACTGATGTTCAATCTCACAAAGCACATAGGTGCATCTATCTAGGCTTCCTATAGTTCCACCCCTTCTTGGATGACTATAAGGCTAGATGCATTTGACATGAAGCTCAACTTCACAACGATGGTGAATCTATCAAGTTCTCTCATGGAACCACCCAATTAGGGCTATAGATTCATCATGAACAATAAAGTTCATCTCAAAAAGAAATTTGCGGTGCGTCTATCAAGTCCTTCACAATAGGATCACCCAATTTAGGCTATAGACACATTAAGAGCATAAGATCATCCTCACAAATAATCGCCATAGGAATGACATACCACGTGGGTTTTTAGCTCATTCCCATTGACAAACTCGCACCAAGTCATACTTTATTCCTTATTTAAGGATTTGTACAATTCTTCTCTGGCTTCACATACTCAAAAAGGAGTATCACTTCACAAGATCCACCTCCATGGCTTGCAACTCATGAATTGTGTCTCACATTTGCCATCAAACACTTAGTTTCTGACAACACACATCAAACTTGTGAATTAGAAAAGTAGAGCAGTGGAGATCTCACTACCCCCACAATTGCCAGTATATTCTAGATTAATTGATTTCCGTCCATCATTAGCATAACCCAACCTAGATCACATGTAAGGTCCTTTAAATAACATAAAGGCTTATGCTAGAAAAACACACCTACCACATGAATGAATTGAAAAAGATCACTCACATGAGTGAGTAAATAAGCAATATTAGATTCAGCATGTTTAACAATCACACCATCGCAGAGTATTAAATAACCTACGGAGCACGCCAAGGAACATCTCACCTTATATAAACACCCCCACACAACAAGCATTTAGGTTATCACATATATAACCAATATGTTAATGAAGAGGGGCTAAAACACATTCTTGTGAGACAAACCATTAGCCAACATAATGAGCTGAAAACAATAAAATTACTACCCCTACATAGACTATATTAGCCAAAATTAAGACAAGAGCATTTAGAGGCCCTTTCAAACAATAGGGTCATACCTTTCAATTATTCCATTATGTGGAGCTCTTACTTGAAACCAACTTTAACCAACCTTACTCTTCTAGGCTTTGATCAAAATAAAAATTTTACTTCTGCTATATAAACAAGGAGATGAAATGGTCTCATCTAAACCCTAGGAAAAAGATATGCCTCAAGCAAACATCAATAAGTAAAACAACACCACATTTATAATACTACTCAATCTCCAAGTCTAACAAATTAACTAAGTATTCATGAATTAAATCATATAATTCAAATACCCTTTAAGTCACATACGTCTAGGGTTCACACAAATGACTTAGTTAAATAAAACAATCAATACACCCATTCCACACTAGATTAGGAATAAGATCAACACTCTTAGCTCAACAAGAGTCACATAACGAGTCCTGATCGACCATGACACTCAACAATGGGTTATATACAACACAATAAGCAGAAGTAAACAACTCACAAGTACAGTTGTCAAAGCTACTAGCATGCCCATAGGAATACATAAGCAAAACAAATGGAAGTCTCGCTTCCTCCTCAACACCCTCACTAGGGTGAAACAAACCAACATGCTCGTTAGTCTCAAAACCAACAAAACTCACCCTCACATTGCAAAACAACACATCATAATAATAATTATGCATCTAGGAGGCCCATAATGAGACATTAAGTCAACTTAAAGTTTGATACCAAATATTGAGAGGAGAACTTCCATGGAAATGAGCACACAAAAATAATCATGTAAATAATTTAATGCTCGGCCAAAAATAAAATATGAGTGGAGAACTTCCCTGAGCATAGCAGTTCTCTTGATTATGATTGCCATTGTATATAGCTTCAACTCTACAATACCATGATATGCAAAATCTGTAATCCCTGCCAAAACCCGCGACCGCAGCTTAACCCCGCGCCCGCAACCCAAACCCACGGGTGAAACCAGCGCTCAACTACCAAGGGTCGACGGTACTTCCAGATCACAGGGAAGCTCACGGCTGAATCCCGCGCCCGCAGGAAACTTCAATCTCAGGCTCAGATGCGGCAACGAGGGCTTGACTTCGTCTTTGGCTCAAACATAAGCACCGTTTGCATTACAAAACTCCAACATACCATCAAGCAATTGTGTAACACCCCTAAATCTCCCTCTACAGAAATACTAGTATAATACGTATATTATACCTTAGCGATAGACTTAGGTGTATTATCGCCACGTGATTACGCAAGGATACTCAAAATACTTAACTCAATAACAAAACTTGCAGCGGAAACTCAACCTTCTTTTATTAATACTTATAAAAAATAGTAACATTGTTATGAGTACTCAAAATAAAGACAAGCAAGACCAACATTCCTAAACTAGGTGAAGAAAATCCCGGGACTCCCATATGTTCATTCATGAATCCACCTGAAAATAGTCAACACTGTTTACCATTACGGTAAACAGGTGCGAACTAAAACAAATAGGAAATACGGATTAGCAAAATATGCTTAGTACGATAAGTGCAAGATAAGTAAATTCAATTTATTTGCAAACATGCTCTTAAAACCAATTCCAATAATTAATCCAATGAATTCCAAAACTCATGTTTCAAACCAATTTTCAATAATTCAATAATTCGATGAAATGATTTATAAAACCAATTCCAATAATTTAATATTTCAATAATCAATTCAATAAAACCAATTCCTCTTTTTTAAAACCAATTCCTCTTTTCAAAACCAATTCTTCTTTTTAAAACCAATTTCTCTTTTTAAAACCAATTCCTCACCTAAGTGTGCATACTCCCCAAGCTAGTCTCCTTATATTGCAAGGCTATTCTTGAGGAAAGACTCGGTCATACAAAGTCTAAAGTGTTATCAACCAAATACGCATAATGTGATTACTATTAACATGCTTGTAAAGTTTATTAATAATAATAATAATAATAATAATAATAATAATTCAATAATTCCTCCTTAAATAAAATCAACCTTTATAATAGGTTAAATAAAAACTCCTTTTTATTTAATTCAACATGCCTTCAAAAAATCAAATTTTTAATAAATACTTGAGAATTAAATCTCATATAAATAAATTTTCAAAATCAATAACTCTTCCTTTGAATAATCTTTTATTTAATTCAACAAGCTTTTCAAATCATTTTCTTTATTCAAACATGATAAGTAATTCAAACCCTTCAAAACATGATTTTAAAATCAATCCTTCACAAATACATTTATTAAAACAAATATTAAAATCAATTCCTCCAACCATGCTTTGTTTCATAAATCATAATTCAAATCAATTTAATTCAATCACCAATAAAATCATATAAACATGTTATTCAAACCAATCACTTCCAAAGGTATCTAGCCACCTAAACGTACCTTTGATCCTTGCTAGCAATTACACATAGACTTCAAGAACCTTGATTGAACACACCTTACAAATAAATATAACCTTAAATAATATAAGGTTAACAAATAATTAAATTAAAACCCCCAACTTTATGTACATGAACCATTTAAATTATTTTTCATAAACATGAATAAAAATCTGATTTTATTTAAATAAAACTACTCATAATAATTTTTATAAATTCCCCATAATAATAATAATTAATTAAATAAGAGAAGAGAAGAAGAAAAGGTAGAAAACCAAGTAAAAGAGAGAGAGGTGGCGCCAAGGGCAGCCTTCTGGCAGGTGGTTGGGGGTGATTGGTGGTGATTGGTGGTGGTGCAAGAAAGAAAAGAAAGGAAAAAAGAGAAGAATT